TCTTGGATAAAGGTTTAATGCACATGTGTCTTTTTCTCTCTACCTTCTATACCAGTGAGAGTATGTAACTGCACAGAGCTCGGCTACTGCTACATGGAACCAGATCAGCGTTCCTTCAGTTATGGAGTTGGTCCCACAGTCGGGATCCTTGCTGGCACTGTGGGATTCTGCCGTAAGTCTAACAAACCACATATAGAAGCACATGAAGCAGTGTCCATTATACTGTGCAGTCTGTGTTATTATTATCTAGTTATATGTCGCTGGTGCTGACTCCATTTTGTACACTGCTGTAATTGACTTCAGTTTTATTGTCTTTTTGCAGTTATTGCCTTCATCATTGTGATCAAGCGTTCAAATAAAGGGGGTAAGAAGAAAACCTTGTCTGAAGAGGAAGAGAGGAACGTGATGATGTAGAGACTACACACACATATTTGTACTTTTACAGTCGTGAGGACGCTCACTGACATAATACATTATTATAATACATTCCTTATTGCCTCGCCATCACATCTACATACCTAACCTGAACCCTTATTTTATTTTGATGTTTTCTTTTTAACATCTGTGCGGGGACAGCAGATGAAAATTACACTTCTAGGCGAACCGTGGCTCATTTTATTTAGTTCTTTTTTTTCCTGTTGATCCAGAAGCATTTTCCATGGCAAATAAATACTAATAAATAATCAAATAAATGAACAGCAGATGTGAGGACTGAACTTTTCCAACAATGTCCTCTCTCTCAAGGTCTAAAAGTTTATTTCTCACAAAGGTAGATAGGTACACACACACACACCACACACACACACACACACACACACACAGATTTACTTTAGCTTTTTTTTATTTACAAGAGAGTTGAGCTTGATTAATAAGTGCAGTGCATACTTAATTAAACTGTCAGGTGGCCCCATGCTAATCATGCATTTATAAAGCTTGTTAATGTAATTTATTTAAATTTCACTCCCAGACTCAGGTTGTTTCATTAGCCGTTTTCATCATCTCACATAATTCAATTTGGGGGTTTTGGGCCAAGAGCTTGTTTTGCTGTTATCTTCTTGAATGTAAAGGCTGACTGTTGAATGCTGTGTGACAGCTGGGATTATCTTTCAGAAACATCTTGGAATGAACTATTGTAAGAGTGTTGTCTTTGTAATGAACAACAATTACTGAGTTTTGTAATGAGCTATTACTGCTCTGTGTCCCAATAAAGAAAGAAACTGGGAACCACTTTAGTTTTCATATCATTGTGTGTGTGCATGTGCATGTCGGGGCAGACGCTTGGTGCTCGGTGACAAAAGACGTGCATCCACACCTCAGCTCGATGCTTCCTTGCCGCTCTTTCTTTTTTTAAGGAGGACTTCTGTTCTTCACATTTCTGACTAACATCGACTCTACTCGTTTACATGTCAGTACTTTCGCATCCTTCCTTTTTCTCCCCGTCCCTGTCGGTCAGTCGTTGAGCAGTCAAAGCCACGGTGATGCTCTGAGTCATAGACAGTGGGAGACAAGCCGCAGATTGTTCTCAGTGCTGAAAGAAAGATGGGATGATTGTGGGCTTTTATACAGCACAAAAAAGCCGCAACACAATAACAAGGAAAAAAACACACTCAGACACATGTGAGAGTTGAATGTGGGTGCCACATGTGCTCCCATGGTCATTCATCCCCCCCCTCAATCCATGTGCCATGTTTGTGAGTGTGTGTTAGAGATGAGTCATCTAACGGCCTGCTGCAGCTTTCAAAAGCCAAACGGAGAGCAGTGTCAGAGGCAGAGGAGTGGACTGAGCTACAGCCTCCTAACGACAAACTCAACGTGGAGCCTCTCCAGTGTTTATGTCTGCACTCTCTCTTCAGCAGTATCCCAGGCAACACTTTCCACACACACACACACACACACACACACACACACACACACACACACACACACACACACACACACACACACACACACACACACACACACACGGAGAGTCATGGAGAGCTGGTGGGAGAAGCTGACAGGTTGAGGGACAGAAGAGAAGAGGTGGAGAAAAGACAGAAAGAGTAAACTGTAGTGTGTGTGGATGACCCGACCACCTCTGGATATCAAACGTCACCATCACTACGCAGACACACACACACACACGGATGTTTTTGTCAAAATGATTGTGTTTACCCTGTAAACTGTACTGCAGATCAGTTTTTGTCCTAATATAGAGGTTCTATGAGGCTCACCATCACAATAAAAAAAAACAACTTTGTTTATTCAATTCAGTCTTTAATATTAAAACTTTATAAACGTGTTAAAGACAGTAGATGAACAATATTATGACTATTAAAAGACATTTTTCTGTCCTTTAAGTGCACTTACACCCAAATAGTTCAGGGTGTTCAGTGTAAGGTCTTTTGATACTGGATTCATAATTAATAATAGTAGAATTCACGTGTGCCTCTTTGCCAGCAGAAGGAGCTCATCAAGAGCTTTCATTTGTTATAGATGACTCATTTATGCCCAGAGTGTCACTTAGGCCCCTCTTGTTCTCACCCCTCACTATGATCAGTTGATGACACCAGCTTGTACTGAATATTTGAAGGCTGAATCAGTAAGGAGTCCAAAACAACAGGATTTATTTTGTATAATATATATATATATATATATATATATATATATATATATATATATATATATAAAAAGATGAGAGATGTACACGTGGTGATTCTTTAGCTGTTTTCAACCTTTTTTCAAACTGGGTTCACATCCAACCTGTGGCCCTTTGCTTATCATCCACTCTCTGCCCCCCTTTCCTGTACATCTTAAGCTCTCCTGTCAAATAAAAGCAAAAAAGAAGTTTGAATGTAAAAATATCCTAGCATTTATGAACATAAGGAAACAGTCAGTCCCATTCTAGTGATGTAGCTTCAGGGGAGGAAGAATGGAAAAGGAATAATCCTACTGATAATTTAGGGAAAAAAAGGAAAATGAATGTCGCACCTTATAACCCAATTATACCAGTGTATTATTTCTTTTATCATGATATTTTAAAGTGTTTCACCAATGTCTCTTGAAAATAACATCCATTTTATATTTAAATCATTAGATGTTCCTTAGGTATTATCTCAACCAGCCCTTTTCCTGATTAGTTTTCTTTAGGTCAATGAAAGTTCCCTTTTATTTATTACTTGTCTGTGTGTTATTTTTCAAAAGATTCAACTACTCTGCTTTAACAATTAATTAAATGTGTCACTTTGAAAATGTGATTCAGTGTTCTCTAAATATAGGACGCCTGACAAGTTGTGACTGCCTCCAAGTGGTGGATAACTTTTGATGAATTAGGTGTTAAACCTCCTCTGTTCTAATTTTGTTTATGTGGGATGATTTTTATTACCCGTCCTGCGTCTTAATCCCACGGAATACCATAAGCAAATGTCATTCAGTCTGCTTTTACGAACTAGTCCCGGAAAATCATCAGCGGAAATGAGGCATGTAGCTGACCAAAATGTTTTGTAGAGAAGGTTATTTCCTGTAAATAAACCAAATATTCCCGTTGTTATGGATGCATACAGTACGTCAAAAAGAGATGTTGACGTAAAACCATCTCTCTGTGACCCTTATACAACAACCAAGGTAACAGAGAGTGACTGAAGTAAAGAAAAAAGAGCCCTTTATTACAAATAATGCGAGGAATTAAAAATTATTTTTTTCAAATAAGGGTAAATATTATTAACAATCGTATCTGCCCCACAATACTGTTAATAACCTTTCTTATGAAAGTTATACACAGTTTATTATATGAAACCCATAAAACTAATGCAGTGTAATACAACAGTCCTTCAATAAATTCTACCTTCATTAAGGTATAACGTGTTTTGTTTTTGTTGTGTAAGAAAGGTGTTGATTCAACTGCAGTTTGTGGTTCTATTGAATTGTATTGCGTTTTACTGACAGGTGTTTCTATTATTTTGTCCACTCCATTTATAACAGTGAGCATAGGCTAAGCAGCGTTTAGTTTTTCACCAATTAGAGGTTAAAAGAAAAGTACAAAACTTAATACTCACATGTCATTTTAATTATCTAACAATATTATTTACTGACGTTTTCAGATACATTTAGTTACAGAATACAACCATTACACAAAAAGTCCAGCTGATGACAGTATCTCCTCAGTTAAACCTCCTCTATTAGACTCTTGGGCCTGTGTTGATACTGCAGCATCATCTAGTGGCAGTTAACTGTCCCATGAAAATAACATTTGTGTCAGTGGTGAAGGAAGTACTCAGATTCTTTACTTAAATAAAAGTAGTGTTGCCACCGTGGTAAAATACTTAAATTCATTAAGAATGTTACTGAGGTAAAAGTGTGTAAGAATTAGACAGTATCAAAAGTAACAGTAATCAATGCAGACAAGTGTCCTCTGAGAGTGTTATACTGTTGTATAGCATATCATTAGATTGTTAATATTGATTCATCAATATGTAAGCAGCATTATACTGCTGTAGTTGGTTGAGTGGAGCTTCTTCCTGGAGCCAAAATCTATTCAGTTTAATTTAAGACAAAAAAGCAGCAAACTGTTTCATTTGAGATGTTGAAACTATATGTTCGGCATTTTTGCATGAAAAATTATTCTCGATTAAGCAGCTGTCAAAACAATTCATTCATGACTAATTAACTAGTTGTTTAAAGTAAAATTGTACATACAGTTAGTAGTGTGCATCACATTTGAAAAGCTCTTGATATGTTTTCTATGTAAAATCTGACTGAAAAGTCATTATTAACTAATTCTGTGGGGTAAAAAGTACAATTTCCCTTCCTATAAAGTAGAAGAACAAGGAAATAAAGTATTAGTACCTCAACGTTTTACTCTGTAGTACATGTCTGCAGTTGAAGTGACCATTACACTGTAACCTGAGACTCTTCAGGTGGTTGAAGGTTAGCGGGACGTCCTGCTGCTTTCTGGGGTGCTGAAATGTGTGTTCACTGCTGGCCAGCCTGTGTCAACCACAACACACAACAACAGTATGAAGTGGTGTGTATTCAGTGTTTTATTAAACCATTCCATATACAAAACTTAACCCACATAAGTTACAATTTATACATACGATTGTAGATAAAGACGTATAACATACTGCTAAAGCTGAATAAATAATATTTAATATTAAACAGCTTCTTTGTTACCAAATGTACATTCTGCTCATTCATCTTGGCTTAAATACACCTGAACACATAGCGTTTAAATGGAGAGTATCAAGAGTGTCTGTCATGAAAAATAAAATCCCAAACTGTAACAAAAACGTTACCCACACTGCTGTTGACCAATCACAAAACAAACAAACAAACAATCATAAGGCTTTTTAAACACGTGTCCCTTTTACCCCCACAAAGTTTGGAAAAGAACAACAAACTTTAATTTTACTCCAACTACTTCACAGCAGTAGCCAACGATATTGTGGAGGAGTTTGTCTACTTAGAGTTTTACTTAACAAACATCATTACTTATATATAATAATAAAGTGAAAAGCCAGGTATGTGTCAATCTACCTGTAGTGGTGCACAGTGCAAGTCTTCCAAGAGTTAATGGCTTGTTAGACTGAGCAGTCTGTAAATATTTGTACTCCAACCTATTAGATTTCAATCACTACCTCAGTGCTTCCCAAAGTTTTTGGCTTGTGACCCTTTAAAATAAAGAATTGTCTCAATTAATTGTTCAAATGATTTCATTTAAGGACTGAAGGTTACAATATCCAGTATTAGATAAGTCAGAGAAAACTTTTGTGTAACTATAATATAATGTCGTGACCCCTGAGATTTATCTTGGGACTCACACAGGATGGGAACTATTAGACTATGAGTTTAAACTGAGAGTATTTACATCCACACCATCAGACGCACCATGTATCCCCACAGTGTTCACTCAATATGAATGTAAACACTTTAAAGCTCAAAGTCAGCACTCAAAAGGTCCAGTGTGTAACATCGAGGATTATCTATAGGCAGAAATACAATATAATACTCTTCGTATGTTTTTATAAAGAGTATAATCACCCGAAAATAAGAATTGTTTTTAATCTACAGAGGGAGCAGGTTCTCTTCTACGGAGTACGCCATGTTTCTACAGTAGCCCAGAACAGTCAAACCGAACCCTGGCTCTAGATTGGGTGGAGACATTATTTGCGAGTTTTCCGGCCACCGTAGTTTCTCCTTCATGCTTGGAACGGGAGGGTGAAGTGAGGGAGTTGGTATGTGCAACCACACCGCTAGATGCCACTAAATCCTACACACTGCACCTTTAAACTCAATGCTGGAGTAAGCATCAACCAAATACTGTCAGACTGGAGTGGAAATACAGAACAAAATGTGTATGTTCAGACAGTACTAAGGATATCTCATACAATGACATTTGCAAGTGTAAAAAAAAGAAAACCAGATGCAACAGTTCTCTATTGTAACATCAGCCTCACAGATGCAAATAATAAAACCAGACTGCAAAAAAAGAGAGTGCGGTGTTATAATAGCACAGTCAAGTTAGAGTCAATATCAAAAAAGTCAATGCTGCATCAACAAAGACCTCTTTACTAAAGTCCAACCTTCACCCTCTTTGGAATTTCTATCATTTCAACCCTGCTGAGTCTTCCAGCAGACGAGGAGGTCGAATGTTTTGGCACAAAAATCAGTTTGTAACAGCGTCTTATCAGCCACGCAGAGAAGAGTGTATGAAACGGTTGACAGAGGATATTGGCAGCATAAATAAGGTTGTAAATAATGTTAACAGACTGTTAACCAGTTTTTAACTGAGATCTTCTCACTTCATACGGAACTGGATCTTCTCGAGCACTGCATACAAACATAATTCTTTACATAAATAGAGTTAAAACTATTCATTCACACTGCTGGACAGATATTTTCCTAATATGGCCTGTTTGTCCACAGAGTCTGCTTGTGTGTAGATCTTCAGTACGCAGTTACACACGTTTGTGTGTGTGTGTGTGTGTGTGTGTGTGTGTGTGTGTGTGTGTGTGTGTACTCCTCAGTATAACACCAGCGAAAGGCTTCTGTACAGCTCAGGACTGCCCGTCCTGTCTCTGTGCTCCAATCACATGAGGGTTGAACTGAGAGATTATGATGGTGATGTCATCGCGGTACATGCGAGCCAGCTCCTCGGGCAGCGACAGCATTTTCGACAGCCTCTCGTGGTCAACCGTGCCAAACTCGTTGTTTCCCACTGCGTGCCGTATCAGGTGGGTTGATGAGTTCTGATCCTCGAAAGCTGAGGACACGCGAGCCTTTCTCTCTTCGAGCAGCCCCTGCATCTGTCCCAGGGTGACCTTGTAGCCTCCGACTTTGAGGGGCTGACGCTGGTGCACCCCTGTTAAATATTCCCCCACAATACGAACTACTTCCTGTCTGTGGAGAGTCTCCCAGAGGCCGTCAGAGCCAATCACCTACAGGGACACACAGAGGAGAGTGGGGGTCAGAAAACACATGGTTGTAACATCAGATGAGCCAAGTTACTCACATAATTACTGAGAAAATGAGGTTCTTCTTACAAAACAGATAATGAAAAACTAATTCTTTCTACACAAACAAAACCTTTGTCTGCAGATTTAGCCATACAACAAGCAATCATGAGTCTAGAAGCAAGATAAATCCTTTTAAAGAAAGACAGCTCTGTTTTTTTGTCATTTTGTTTTGAAAAACACAGTTCACTCATTTTTGGAGTACAAAAAGATCCAAATGGGTGCAGCTCTTTTTTTTTTTAGGAAACCATCTCGGATGAACACAATGGTACAAACACCAGAATGAGGTGAGAAGCCAGATCCACAATGTGTCTTAATATCATTTTAGTGTTTTGTAGAGGGTAGCAATTTCCTAGCCTGGTTCCAGACTTCTTAATGACAGCATCTCCATTTATTCAGCAGTTCAAACAGGTCGGGTGTTGCACCCACTGACGGCTGTTAACACCTCTTGGGTAAACCGTTAAACAATTAAGAATGTGGATGTCATCTTCCTACATAGCTAGCTACATCTATGCAGAAATGTGACAGAAAAATGGTGACAAACTTGAATGGAGATCCACGAAGCTGTACGAGCTGTCAGAAGTGGACTTACAGAAATGACAACTTTTAATGTGGTTGATACAGTACGTTTGAAACTTTGTATTTTGGGAGAGGATTCGTAGGTGATGAAAATGTGCCTCCTCTCTCACCATGAAGCGGTCCTGTGGCCGCAGTCTGTGGTACGTGATCTCGGGCTCAGCGGTCAGGTAAGGGGGTGTGTGGTAGTTTGGAGGGATAAACTTGGTGTGCTCGTTTTCGTGGAGCTGATCAGGTCCAGACTCCAACACACGCTTCTGCAGTTCAATGCTCCACTTGAACTTCACGTCCCCAAATGCACGAAACGGCATGAGGAGGCCAAGCAACCGGTCCTGATAAAGGAGATGACAGAAAGAGGGGAAGAGGATTTAATAAATGCTGTAACAACAGCAACCACTTTAAGAAAATTAGTAGGTGTAGTACCTGTCGTATAACTGTCTTCCTCTCAGATGGAGGGTGTTCACCCCGTATCCGAGCCATCTCTTCCTCATTCTGGGCACTGTGATCATTAGAGAGTGTGTGAGCGCTGAAGGAACCATCCTCCTCCTGCACCCCCAACACTGCCCGAGCATCTCCTGCGTTGGCTATAAACCTTTAGGAACAGAGAGGGAGAGAAGAAGCAAGGCTAAAAAAAAGGCTGCTAAAGATAGATAAAGTTATGTAACACTTTGACACATTGACAAGAATGTGTGTGTGTGTATTTTTTCTCCGTACAGGTCTGGTCCATCGATGTGAGCCACGCAGGCCGTTGCTCCAGAAAAGGCCACTCTCAGAACCCAGTAGTGCAGGAAAGCATTCGGGTCTCCAACCTAAATGGCAAAATAACACTGTGGGCCTCCGCACAGGATACAGTTCATGGTTTAAATTACAGGGAGAGGCGATGACAACTGAGCTCCTCTTAAATCTATAAAAGTTTAAATTTGGATGCTCACAATCTTTTTGTACTGCTGCCATGGGCCAAAGGCGATATTCAATCTAATATGTGAAACGGCACTCAAGTCCTGTACTCAGACAAAATTTAATGGCTTGCAATTTGATTCAGACTTCGGTGACTGAGAATCTGATGCAGGGCAACATATTTTTAAAGTCTTATCATGAACTTGTGCCTGACCATCTAGTTGTTAACAATGAAGGCTTACGCCAGTGCTCTGGGCTAAGAACACTGTAATTTCAGGTTAAGCTTTGTTTAAGCTTAATTTACATGGATTTTACATTAATTACAGTTAAAGAAGGTCCTAATGTAAAATATGTACATTGAAATTCAAGATAAAGAGAGGAAGAGGAAATTCAGCCTCAAAGCATTGACTTCAGTTATTTAAACTTAACTAAATATCAAGCAATTTGAGTTACAGAAAGGTTTAGCATTTAGGAGGATCTATTGGCAAAATGGAATATAATATGAATTACTGTTTTCTTTAGTGTATAGTCACCAAATAGGAATTATTGTGTTTTTGTTACTTTAGAAGCTCATTAACACAAGATGCCTTTAGTAGGACCAGCAGCAACGTTTCACATTAAGACAGCAGACTGTTCCTACCTGAGCTTCCAAGGAAATGTCATTGTCCAGCCTCTTAAAGGCATTCAGCAACGCTTCACGGGTATCTGGAACTTCGCCTGGGCTGAAAACAGAGACAGAGCAATATGTGTGCTGCAGATAAGAGAGGAAGCCAGAGGTCGAGAACAGAAACCGGCAACAGTAATATTGGCAAAACAACAGATGGGCCAGTGTTGGTGTGGGCATGTTGCTACAAGATACAGTTGAAGATAAAATAAGAAACTAGGAAGTCCAGTTTGAAATGTTAACAAAAAGCATTTTTTCTTTTGAAACTGGACTGTACAGCTCAAGAATGTTCTCTTCTGTCTTAATGGTTTTAAGTATTCGTTAGAAATATTTTGGTGTATCCTCTGCCGTGTTTCTCTGTCCTCACCTGGTGAGATCTATTAGCTCCTGCCAGTAGGTTCGGAGGCTGTTGAAGTAGAGAGTCTGAGCCTCCCTGGTGAAGTAGTCATTGGGGTGTTTGTGCCACTGCAGGATGGGACTGAGGGCCCTGCCAGCCTCCACTGCTGCCTCAAGCTCGCACAGTGTGTCGTGGGGCAGCAGAGACACCGCTATGTAGTAAAACAACCTCTCACTCAGTGCCTGGCAGAGAGGAGGAGAGTTAGAAACTTACACAATTCCCAAGAAAAAACAATGTCAATGAAACAGGATACAGAAGAAAACCAGGTCTTCCACTTGCATTACACGTTTAAAATGTTCCTATATTAACTAGATACATATTGTCTTCTTTTACACTGTGCATAATGCATCCCTGCTTGCTGTTTACAATTATGTGATAACAGAGTTATCATTACCTGTGCACATGCACATCCAGCATGACCATCAAACACACCCAGCAGCATTCCTCGTGTCTGCAGGCATGTGGCAGCACTTCGACGGTCTTCTATAGGGGCGTTGGCTGGCAGCTGATTACTCTCAAAACCCATCACAGATGACACATTCTTCCCATCAAACTCCGGCACCTAGAAACCCCAACACATAGAAATGGTAAGATGAAAACATAAATACAGAGATGGTAAAAACAAAAGAAGTGTTTTCTGTGTGCATGAATGAACCCCACAAACCTTGAAGCTGTACTCGTTGGCTTTCAGAATAGAGTTGACCTGTGGGGGTGTGAGGATGTAGCTGCGGAGCACTGAGGTTGTTTGGTAACTTCTTGAGTGCTGGTGGCTCTGCCATACATGAGAGGGCCGTCTTAAGGCAGGTTGCTGAGTGATGGGTCCTAGCTGGGACTGGTGTTGTTGGCATGGTAACAGACTGGAGGCCAAGGCCTTTGTACGAGGAAAACCCCTGAGCAGCTGGGATGTCACATGCATGGCTGAAGGTGCACTGCAGGCACATACACAAACAGCATGATGTATACAAACCTACTGAAGAGGAACACTCCTATTTTGCATGTATTTAATACAGAGCTCAGAGGAACAGCATTCAGATAGCTGGATGGGCTTTTATTAAGATGGAGTCATCTACAGCAGAGGTTCTCAAAGTTCTTCTGTTGTGTCCCCATTCAGAAGCCGAAAATAGTTCACACCCCCCAGTGATCGTGGGAATCGGGAAATAAAAACGTTAAATTTTAGTAAGATAAACGTCAGCATGATTGCATCAACAAACAATTTTTTTGCATAAATCATATTCTTCCAACTTAGCTTCACTGCATGTTTGTCCCCTGGTCACCCTCGTCCCACCTGCAGTGAGAAACACTGACCTACAGAGAGTCAGAGTGAGTCAGGTCAGAGGGATATTATGTGAGGAGGTTTAGAAGGTGGGGGCAGGTTGGTAACAGGGCCTTAAATTAGAGAGACAGAGAATCAGTGACAGCTTGGGGAAATGTATTTGAATAATTATGGCCAGTAAAGGGCTCTTATTGGCAGGTAGAAAACAACAGATGGGAGTGAGGAGAAAGAAGAGGAGATTAGGGATGGAGAGCACAGTGGTAACGGTGGTGTATGTGTGTGGAGATATATATATTGAGGTGGCTGGTAGAATTTGAATATTCACCAACCATTTGGCTGGTGGTCAAAAAAGAAAAATGTGCACCCTGATAACACCTAGTTAAAACAATGCAATGCAATAAATCCTACCCTCAGTAAGGTTATCAACTTGTTCAGTATTTGTTAAAATTGCTTTAGAGAAGTGTTGATTTGACTTTTTGATCACTACAGTGCGGTTGAATTACATTGTGTTACACTGACAAGCCTTTTATTACTTTGTCAAACCTATTTCTATAAATAGCGAACGCTAAATAGAAAACACCTCTCTGTATTACTCAATACAGTTCAACAGCAGGACAAATGACAGCCTCCAAAATGACCATAGAGTTGAATGAACTCCTCTCTAAAAACAGAACCTTCATGAAGATATGGCAGGACGTTTGTATTAGATTACATTAGGTGGTGTTGGGTCTGTTTGTAAAAATGAAACTGAAATGTATTTAGATTTCCTCTGATTTATCAATCTTGCATGCACATTCTGCTGAACATCCTGCTCAATGTGCATTCAGTGCAGGGAACGTCAAACCTAGGAGATATTAATATAGGGATATTATAGAGCCTTATACAAAAATACAGCAACAACGGCTGACTTTTGATAGTTTCAGATCAGATCACAAGAAAATGTGTATCGTGGAATAGGACCACCAGAGCATGTACTGGGGTCTGGCTTGAGTTACAACCCTGCTCTCTTCTCCAACTACAGGTCAGCAGGTCTACACACCCGATTAAAAATAGCTTTGGCAAGAATCTCAGCCCTGACATTTAGATCTTGAGAAATGTTCTGTCTGGTTATGACCCAGTGAACTGGATCCTGACTGCGTCTCTCCATATAAGCTGTCCTCATTGCTTAAGTAAGTTAAGTGCAGTTCGTCAGGTGGGTGGGGAAATCTCCTATTAGTGAGTCTGCTTCTGGAGAAAGATGCAGAAGTTCAGGTGATGTCTGCTCAGGTAGAAATCTATCTATGTCTCAGTGAAAATGTCCGACAGGCTGTAACCCTGTTGAGTAGCAGTAAGCTGGGCAAACTCAAACTGTGTATGAGTCAGACAGACCACAGAGGGCCCGTCCCAGCTCTGAGCTCTGCAAGAAAGTTGCCATGTTTGTTGACATCACGACCCTCCCTCCCTCTCTCTCTCTCTCTCTCTCTCTCTCCGAGCTCGGAGCACAGGAAGTCTACACAACCGTAAGCTAATAGCGAGAACCTGCGACACAGAGCATCAGTCTCAGAGCTGAGGGAGGCTACCAAACAGTAATGTAACAGATATTAACATTAGCTCTGCGATGGAGACGACGTGCGTCAGTTAACTAGGCAGCCCAAAATAATCATGCTAATAGAGGCTAGTGGTTTCTGGGTTACACCCACCAACAACCGTCAAACTGGGTAACGTTAGCTCACGTTAAACACCATGGCAACGGCTGAAAACAGACCTAACAGTCGACAAATGAGCAGAGAAAGTCAGACTAACCTTAACCGAAGGATGTGAAGAAGTTATTGAAGTTCATGGCTGAACACCGACCCCTTTGGTCTGTATCATCCTGGAGCGCCGCACAGCGACCTGAACGCTGATTGGCTGAGCTCGGACAGCCGCGATGACGTCAGGTCACTCCCATACGTAAGATAAGGGGCCTTTTAAAAATCAGAGCTGCAGCTTTTATTGACCCACTAGCAATATTTGAAGAGGAGGAGGTCAGTGTTAATATGATAATAATACTATGAGAGCCTCTCTCTGTAATCTGCAGCAATTGAGGGATTGTTACGGCATAAAACAATGAGACAGGAACACATAAATATACGCATAAATCTTATAAAAACATTGTCCACAATAGGGTATTACACCTAAAAATTATAAAATATTATATTGGTGTCTAAATCTATATAGTCTCACAGTATATGCCATCACTCACATTTCTTGATGACATAAAGATTTACTCTATGTCATCGTAGGAAATTCCATTATTGGAAATACATTTGGCGAAGAAATTGTGTTTTATTACAACTACCTCAAAAATAAAACTCAAAACAATACTGTCAAAACACATATCAAAATATTTTAATCAATAAAAACAAAGTCTTTACAAAAATTAGCATATTTACATTATGGAACAGCAGTGAAAATACTGTATTTGTAAATAAAAGTACAAAAAAAAGAGCTGCACAAGCTGTGAACAGTAAACATGTTTGAGAGAAATGCCACTAAACAACACTGACACTACCAATTACTATCATTTCAAATCAGAAATCTATCGTCCACCAGAGTCTTGTTGACGAGGTTCCTCCTTCCGAGAGCGTTACGTATCAAGCGAAATATCTGTAATAAATTAGATGGTTTTCAAAACGTTTTTTATTAGAACAGTGAAGTTAACATACTATATACACACTATATACTGACCATTTGCTGTACGTATGTAAGCACAGCTGCAAGCACAAAGCTCTGAGATCCCAGGTCGACAACACAGAAGAACAAAGTATCAAAGATCAGCAACGTGGCCTCGTTTCCATAAAACAGCACATCACTGAAGGAGTGGGCCTCATCTGTAGTGAGAAATGCAAACAGACATCATTATGTATACACACGTGAACAAACAGTAATGTACAGTCTTCCAAAAGGTCATTACCGTTGTAAAAGATGCTTTTTTCACTGGGTTCAAGAAACTCCATCCCTATGACCCTCTCAAACATCAGCTTGTCCTTCACTATATAGTCCATGTCAGAGTGGGCCTGAAGTAAATAACGCAACATTAGAGACAGAACCAGCTCGTCTGTATGAAATATGAAAACAACTTGTATAATCTTGTATAACTTGTATATATAACTTGTTTAATCTAACAAATAAATTGATATATAATCAGGTCAAATCAAATTCTGCTTGGTGTGAGTTCATCTGAGTATTTGTACTAACATGGTCTATAATGGATCCCAGGAAATGGTTCATGGTGTGGTAGGCTCTGGCGTTCTGCTCAAACTGGTTAGCCGAAGATGCATCCATCAGCCGTGATGGCCTGCTCCTCTGGAGCAGAGGAGACAAGCAATTAGGAATGTTTTTTTCTCTTGGTTTGTTAGTTTATAGCTCAATTACAACACAACAGAGAGAGCACACACCCTGTTGAGCGGCTCCCGTATCCTCTCATACTGCGACCGCAGACGGTTGGTTAGAGACACCTGAAAGGTCTGGATCTCTGTGTTGGGAAGTAGACCTCTCTGGCCACACAGGGACTCCTTGAGACAGAATAAGACAGAGAAGGAAGTCAGAAAGAGGATGGCTATAATGTGAAATCAATAATTTCATAAATATCTACAACTACTAAGACAACATGAAGTCTGTCAGTGTACATACACTCTCTCTTTTCAGATTGTTGTTCATTTCCTCCATGTTTGTATCTGCATGCCCATGTACTGAACGCCCATGAATGTAGTAGCCAAAACAACGGTGAGATAACAGCAGCACAGAAATCTATATAGAAACACAGACAAGATACAATTATGTAAAGCATTACATACAGAGAAAATGTTTAGAATATAATATGAATTTCTACTTACATTACTGATGGAGCAGAGATCTACAAACTGACGGATTTTGTCCTCCACGAAGTGCTCATGAAACACAGTGAAGAAAATCACCTGTAATGATAAATTATTATCTTTTAAAAGGAGCTCTCCACACTTGTACTGTATATTTAATTCATTTCTGAAGAAAGACAGGGAGATGTGAGAGATCAAAGGGAAGTGGGGGAAAAGATGAGAGAAAAGTGAACGGTGGCAGTTTTACCTGTAGAACTCCGATGCAGAGCCACAGCGTGGCTGCAAGACCGTAGCGCAGCATCAGGCTGTATGGAGGGGTGTACACCTGTGCGGAGCGCTCTAACGTTGGCCAGGGGTCCCTCAGGGCCAGGTTAGAGAATCCTAGCACCTGGATAAAGCAGGGTGACGTGTCATCAATGACGAAAAAGGGACGTGACAAAAGTTGCAAAAAAGAAGAGTGCAAGAGTTGATGTGAGATGTACTTCAAGAAAGAAGAGCACAGCCATGATCTGAAAAGTTGGGCTGATCTTGCGGATGGTCTGGATCTCGTTCCATTCATTGGCCACAAAGTAGGTCCTCCAGATGCTGACTGGAGAGGGGTCACGTTTTGGCTCACCAGTAGCTGAAACAGCAGCGAATACGGTGAAGGGAATGAAACAGCCGCTGGATAATTACTTCTTATGAATACTGCGAGTAAATATGTTTGTACCTTGCACAGGCCTGCTGGCTTTGCTTCGTGGCCTCTCCCAGTCAATAAAGAATATATCAACTGACACCTGAAGGATCAGCTTGTGGAGAAACTGGATAGCCTGAATACAAATACACAAAACCAAACGTTTTTAAATATTCTAATAGAAGCAAAAAATCTATCTTTTAAAAACAATACTGCTAATTTTACATCTGTCCAGTACGTGTCTAACCTTGAGAGCGAAGGCACAACCAATGTATGTCACAAACTGCTCCTCCTGAGCAGGTAGTGGTAACAGCACTGACACAAACTGTTGGGCCTAAACAGACACAAACACAAATGAATCCCAGAAACCAGCAAATATTAAATCACACCTAAATCTAAGCATTCAAAAAAAATGTTCAGGCAAAGAAGGTAAAGGAAGAAAAGGACTTGCCTTTAACGTCTAAAGAGTGCAGAGAGGAAAAGAAAAGTCCATGCAAAGACAAAAGAAAAACCTTGTGTTTTAAAAAGAAATACAGTTTACATGTCTCAAATGAAAAAGCTGCAGAGAGAAGATACTGGTACAAACATTAAAGACCCCTCAGGTATGACAATCATCCTCAACGAGCCTATAAAAGACAGGCCCAAAGGAATTAAGACTAACCTTGTAAAAGATGAGCCAGTAAAGTCCAGTTCCCACAGTGACGGCGAAGAAAACATTGGCCAGATCTCCGGCATAAAACAACAAAAACTTCAGCATAGTCTGAGGCGGAAGGAGGGAGAGACTAACATTACTTCCAATTTAAACCAACATACTGTGTGTATTTAAGAGGCTCACATATTGACATGTTACAGACGCAGTACCTCCACATCAATTAGCGGAGAGGCAATCCTCCTCTTCCAGCTGACTGTCTTCAGCAGAGAGTAGAGCACGGCCACACCACCCATCACACCTAGAGCAGTCTGTGCACATACAAAAATATCAGAGCCACAGTTGATACTGTATCACTGCGTGCACATAAACACTAAAAATCACCATCATACATAAGAAATTCCCAACCATAATTCAACCATACTCACATCTGTCTTAGCGCGAGCCTCGTTCTGATCCATCTCATACTCCACAGAAAACGTTATCTATAAAAAGATACATTTGTTTAATACATAAGCTGACCAATAGCTTGTTTTTTAGATGAATAAAGAGACAGTAATGTTTTTATTTCAATAGAAAGCCTGCTAAGAAAACAATCTAACTGCAACTTCATTTTTACATTGAGACCATCAGCTAGTTCTGTTTGTGTGTATTGCTATCTCTGTGAGGATCAATTTCGGTTTTATACCATTGTAGTAACAACTGACAACTTCAAAGGACTGTTTGAAGGTTAGGATTAGGTTTAGGTTAGGATTGGGGTTAGGGTTGTGGTAAGGCATTCAGTTGTGATGGTTAAGGGCTAGAGAATATGTCTGTATTCCAGTGAGAGTCCTAGATGTACAAACACCTCTCTGTGTGTGTGTGTGTGTGTGTGTGTGTGTACTTACAGACACAGCTTGTGTATCGATGGGAACATCTCTGTAGGTCACAGTCATTAGAGGGGGGAATACCTGTCCTTCCTGGGTTCGTGGAACTAGCTGAAACCTACCAAACACACACACACACACACACACACCCCCCAACACCCAACACCCACCCCCCCACACACCCCCCACACACACACACACACACACACACAATGTCTCACAAAGCAGTTACAAACAGAAGCCTTCACTTTTTTTTGTCATGGTGATGTACACATTGTGATGGAGCTGTTATGGGAATTGTTTTGAAAAAGCTAATGTGCTTGTAGCTGCCAAAACATAAAGTATATGCATGATTGAGTATAACCAAACTGTATGTGATGACATTATTTAAGGATAAAAGCTGCTCGGAGAAGCTTCTCTCTGTGTGTCTGTGTAAAATTATCCAATTCATATATCAACTGCACGTAAACTGTTGTCAGGTGAAGACTGCAAGCATTGAAAGGCAGTAGCCTTACTCGCACAGAGAGAGAGAGAAAGAGTGTTGTGAGAAGCAGCATCCCGGGGAGAGCCTGTCTTCTGGCCTTAATGATAAACATGCACCTGCTTGTAACAAACAGTGATATTCGAGTATATGCTGCAGTGCAACCAATTTCTCTCCAATCTCATGTGCATCTTTCCGTAAATGGAGGCTCTTGTTTGCAACTATTGTTTCTGTTTGCCACGACAGAGCCCACCTTATTTTGACACTGCTGGCTACACGGATGATTTTAGGCGGGGAACTCATACTCTTCTCTCTTCCACTCAGTGTGTCAACAAGAAACATACGTCGAGACAGGTACCAGTTCTTCATGCTCTCTGGAAATAGATAAAATATATTAAAGCAATGCACACACACATACGTATGCAGACACACAAAAAAATTGAATCCCACCTTGGTTGATGAAGCGTCCATTGTATTGCTGGTTATAAACTAGTGTAGGCAGAGGGAGTAGTTTACTGTTCTCTCCTCCACCAAGATCCATAAACACATCATAGAACAACGGCTCTGGGTGGGTATCCAACAGCTTCGCTACTGAGAGATCACACTACACACACACACACAGCTTATAATACAACTGGGATTGCAGGAGAGATTGTGCACCGTCTCTGAACTAAATGAAAGAAGTAACACTCACACTTTGTTGGTAAGCGGTTCCAAAGCTGAAGGCTGCAGCCTGTTTGGTTGTTGTATCCGGACAAAGCTAAAAGAGAAGGAGAGAAGAAGGGACATGGTGTGGAGTAATTAACAGCCTCCTTTATGTTTATGGTGGGAAACAATGATTAGGATTTGGCCCGACCAAGTCGTTTGGCATTTTACCTGGAGATTACTTCCTCCTACGGGTTCCCATCTGAGGAACTCTCCTCTGACATTGTAAACAGCAGCAAGCAGCTTAATGTCAGTGTTCTGCCAAAAAAACAGAATATGTCAATTAAAAGAACATTTTATTAACCTAGTAAGTTTATTGCTCAATTTGTAGGTTTTATAGTGCTATTATTTCTAGTTCTTCCTTTGCTATGTTCCTTATCGGGATAACTTGAAGACTTACCTTGTTTCTTCCTCTGAAACTGAACCCAATAGGAACAGGATCGGTCTGAAGCACTCGACTGGCCAGTCCTGGTTCGTCACCATAGTAAAGCCATGGGAGATTATTTCTCCTGGAGAAAGAATGACCAAAGTGCTTACTATGCACTCTGGGTGAAACTAAATTACAGTATAGGGGAATAAAACCTGCAAAGATAGCACAGTGTATACACATATGCCATGATAGTGTTGATTACCAGTAAGAAATGTCTTGAGTTGAGCTCAAAGCAGCTCTGGATCTAAAGATGGTGTTAAAGAGACCACAGGCATCTGTGGACAAGCCGCTGAAGGAGTGCATGTTCATGACACACATGTTCCCTAGAGACTGACATGCCGTCAGGTTGGAGAAGACCTGTAACCACACAACTTGTTCATGCATAGCAGCTGAAACACACACACAATGTTTAAAGCAAAATGTTTGGTTATGACCACCAGAACTTGCTCCCTATGATGTCAGATAAAGAAAATTGGAATTACGAGGCAGGCTGCTGACGAGGAGTACAGGTTGTTGACGAACCAGGCGGACTGGATGCTGACCTTCTGCAAAAGGAACAGAACAGACAAAACAACTCAGAATACACAAAAATAAACAAAAATAAAGTGAGCAAGTGAAAGAAGAGAAGGAGACTCACCAACTGAGCATAGTTGACACTAGGATTCACATTGGTGGAGAGGCTGCCTGGAGGGATACATAATCCTCCTGCCTGGAATCACATACCAACCACTGATGATACATATATTCTATGAATTACTGAATGGTGTGTGTATGATGGGTTAAGGAGAGGGTCAGAGCTCACCAGGACATTAGGAGGGTTACAGTCACAGGAGGTGTTAATGAAGGTGGCCTGACATCTCTCACACCTGAAAGACAATTTTTAAAACTATTTCATCCCTTTTATACTGTACAAAGTAAACCTGGAATCAAGTCAAACTTTATTCAAACTCAGTCAGCACAAAACCAGTGGTAAGAGAGAGTAAACAGGCATAAGTAATTTGTAAGAACAAACTAAATCAAATCTGTCCTTGCAATATTGGGAGCCACAGACTAGTGCTCATGGGGGGCACAGAGGGTTGAAGACAGGGGAGACACACTGGGGACATGAGATGTGGATCTGGAACAACCATAAGTCAAGCTCAAAATGATGAGAGGTGCCAGAGAGATAGAAACATAACAAGAGACAAATTTAAATGAGGTTCTTTTGACAGACTTTTGACCATCAATCCATGAATCAATGGAGGATCTGCACTGATTTAAATTCCTCATTGAACTGTGGGTTTGTACTGGGGTCCTTATCTATTAGATAACACGGACACTTGAATTGAATAACTCCCTAAAGGTTTGTTCAGTCTTCTTAAAGATTCTTTAACACAATTACTATTGGTTTAGCTTTAGAATATTCACATTAGTAGACGCCACTGAAATCACAATACTCCCTTCAAAATGTTTATTTTTGTGTCTGCTATGCTGCAGATCAAATAACCAAGTAAAAGACTCCAGTCACTTAGTATTGACTTTCGTAGAGCTGAGGGAAGAATGGTCAAAACTCTGGAGCAGTAAAGACTGAGATATCCTGAGTTTAAGCTCCAAAACCAGTGGATCCTACAATTTACATTGCCTAAAACATTTAGTGTTAGACCCTTCCTGCCTGGTTAATGTGTGAACCTGGATATGTCAGTGTTTCCACTGTATGGTATAAATACGTACCTGTCTCCACTGCTGTTTGGTACAGCCAAAGCAGGGGCATTTCGATTACACGTTTCACACCTGGCCTCATCCAGAAGGTTTCCATTGACATCTCTCTCCACTGGAAAACATAACCCATGTTCAGCAATAAAAATTAATCTTCTGCCTCGTATTCACTTTCGAAGTGTAATGATACCATCCATCAGTGGTCTATATATATAAAAATAGATATAGGAAAATCTCATATACCCTAGGAGATAAGAAAATCATATGTTTTATTTTCTGGTATAAAAGAGAAACACTGTATGCTTTATCATGGGCCTTTTATTGGCAACACAATTAGAAATGTCAGAGTTGTAGAGAAACACTGGGGTGGGGAACCTAAAATGGCACTATAACACACCCATGTGGCATAACATGAATATATTAATTGCAAATAGGGTACTGGAATTAAATTTAATTCAAAAGGCATCAATAAGATTGGAGATTTATACAATGACAAAAGTATGCCAAGTTTTCAGGAATAGTGACACCTCTTTGACCTGTCTGGCTCATATTGGTGACTCACCCAGGACACTGCCTTGTGGGCACTTGCAGTTCCCCTCATCGGTGAGACTGCCCGGACAGCGAATACACTCAAACCCGCCTGTAGTTACTGCCTGTAAAGAAAGACAACTTGTCAAGAAAGCATTATCACAAATAGTATTAGAAACTGTTTGTGCATTATTTGCAGTATAATGTGAAATGAACAGCAATAAAAGACATTAAAGGTAAATTGCACATACAGGCTTGTCACTGGGACACAGCTGACAAGTAATGGACCCCTTATCAGTAGTGAGAGTTTGGTACCCAGTTATGCAAATGCAGCTCAGTCCTGCAAAGAGAGAGAAACCAATATAAACAGTACATACAGTTAGTGGGAACAGAGGATGTTGTACAGTGTTGAGTTCTGAGATATCAGGTCACAAAGGCCAGTGGTTGAAAAAACTAAAATAACAAGATTACATGCTTTACAGGAAAAAAAAGTTTAACAGATTAAAAACAAAAATACAATAGGGCGAGTAACAAAATTTGTTATTGAAGTTTTTTTTTGAGACAATTAATTGATGAGTCAATTGACAGAAAAATAATTAGTTCACAGCAAAAATGCCAAACATCTCACCCAGTTCCAGCTTCATATTAATTATTTATGAGGATTTTTTGCTTTTCTTTGTCTTATGTGATAGTAAACTGAATATTGTGTGGTTTTGCACTGTTGGTCTGAGGAAAGCAGCAATTCAATGACATTGCTTTAGGAAATTGAGATGGGCATTTTTCACTATTTTCTGACATTTTATAGGCCGAACTAAAACGTATCGGTAACGAAAATAATCATCTGTTTTACTTTTAAACATATGAAGAAATTGGGTTGATTAATTCATAAAAGGTGGAATACAGTTTAGTACTTTGTTTGACTCTTGATTCTGCACATTTTAGCCTTATCATGACACATATTGACATAGGGAAATATTATTAACATTAAAATACATTCATATTCTGGATATAGATTTCAGCCACATTGCCCAGATCTTCAGTCGTCTATGGTTGCAGGCATTGACTTTACCCCATATTAATCCAAACAGCACACTGTGAATTATGTTTTAGGGGAGGATTGCCCCTTTAATGGTCCTCTAACCCAGTGGTTGTCTCACCTTGGGACCCACATCTTCTCATGGTCAAAATCACTTTTTTAAACCAAGCAAATGTATTTTTAAAACAAATATAAAATGCCATTATAACCTTTTTTTTTTTAACAGACATTTGTGTCAGACATCAGATAGCTAACCAATTAATTAAAATGTTATTGTTTTTCCCCACACAGCCACCTTTGGGTACCATTGGCAGTACATAGTAACGTTATGGCGACCCAACCATTGAGACATGCTCTGATCTTAGCTCGCAGGTTATTAACTGATTTTGTAAATATCGTCGTCATTTGCAGCTAGCTTTTAGCTAACTGGGACCTTACTCGTTGCGGTTTCTTTGCGTCGTGCGCGGCCGGAACAGCTCAAAGTTAAAGTTAATTTGTTTTTAAAAGACTAAAATGCCACTTTCCAGCGTCAGTAAATCAGTTCTTGGGATGTTGTGTGTGCGTTAACCGACCTGTTGTGCTCCGTTGCTGGTTTGGACCGCACCTCGCACACGAGAGACTCGAGATATCGAAAAATTCTTCCGCACTACAATCTGTAGGAGCTTTGTAGGGCACGATAAACTGCTGGCAGTTCAGTAGTCCGCTGTTTATTAAAAGGAATAATGTTAGAGGCACTTTGTGTCTGTTAACAACGAGCGGCAGCGTCCCCGTCGCCATGGTAAACATCGGTCTTCCTTTTACCCACAATCCCATTCCTCTTGCGTGATGACGTTGACACCAGATTTATGTGTGCGTCGCAAAAAAACAAAAAAAAGAAGAAGAAATGACATGGTTGGTTAAATGCTAAATGTCAGCCAATTTAATTGTAATTTTAGAAACTTTTTAGTATAATAGAGTAATATGATTTACCAAAAAAAAGCCCTATCCTTTAAATTTAATTCATTAAATTCAGTTTTTCAGTCTCATGTGTGTTTTGTTTGTCTTTTATGCATCTGATCCTGTTTGTATTTTCTATGAGGTTTGTTTAAGCCATGGTGTTTGTACATGTATATTTATATAATAAAAAAATGTGTAACATTTCTGTAATTGTACATAATCATTTTCAATTGTGCGGCCTGTGAAATAATTACATTTGTTTAGAAGTTACTGATCTTTTTCAATGTTTAGATTTATTGGTTGTTGTGTGCTCTTAAATTATCCCCAATCCCACCTGTGCCCAGAAAATATTCCTCCCTCTGTCATGCTTCAAGACAAAGAATATGCACAATATCACAGATGAGCAGTGTGTGCTGATTCTAGGTGGGTGTGGCTTAATGGAAGAAGAAAAATTAAGCACGTACATCAGACCACTGTCACTGTCTCCTCTGGATAGTGACGGGGTTTCAGATAGAAGTAAAGGTACAAGGACTAAAGTAAACAGTAAGGGAATATAAGGAAATAATTTGTAGTTTTGTGGACTACAAGAAAGACATTTGAGAGCTTGACTAGAAGGAACGGAAGAGAGATAAATAGTGTGGTAAGTATTAGTTAAAATGCATTACTTTTTAGTTTGAAAACTAAGGCAAAAGTTTATTCACAAATAATAACAAAACAATACAGGATCTATAGTTAAACAGAATATATAAACTTTGTTGTTACTAAATAACCTGTTTCACAGAGGTTCATTTTAAGACTGGGTTGACAGCTTTTCTTTCGTCTTATCTTAAGATTCTTTCGTAATTTTCCACATGGGTGAGTCATAGGGGACTTTTGGCAGGAAATGAAAGCAGCAGTTTTGCGGCTGTATCTTATTCACTTCCTTGTGACAAAGTACGGTAACATGTTTGCATAGTCCTCAAGGGATACAAGACCACAACAGTATGAGATTGAGTAAGTGAGATTTTAAAATGTAGGTGAATTGAGCTCAAAGGAATCGAGAAGGTTAGAAGCCTTAAAAAGACTGTCTTGACATTTTCTATCAATATGTGGATGATCAATGATTGTTACTGTGGGAAGAAGGTGTGAAGAGAAAAGAAAACCAATGCAGCTGCCTGGGGGCCAAGTAAAAGCAACGCTCCGCACAAAATGAGCTCACTGTCTCTGGAATTCTCGACCCAAACATATCATTAATAACAAAGTGTTTTTTTTGTATGTTTGAATGTACTGGTAGGTCTGTTACTACTTCATGATTCATTTCGGTCATTTGTGTATCTGTTGTCTCTAGGCTACTTTCTTATCGTCTGTATTGTGTTTCTATGTTCAGGACCCCATGAATACTAATGGCACATGTGGTTCTACTGGGGATCCTTAAATAAACATAAACACTTTTGATTACTAAATGTTTGGATAATTGTTGAATATTGTGGTATGTTTTTGGGTCATGGTTCCAGCCCTTGTTGGCTGAAGAATCTCACCTTTTTATGGTGAAAGGTTGTTGGTCAAAATTCTCTTTTGCAGAAAACGTTTAAGGTTTCATTAATTTTGAACTGAAAGCATTTAGCACAAATAGCACATTGCAATGCACACCATTTTACTGCATATTGCATATAGTGTATATATTTTTTCATTTATAGTTACAGTGATTATATTTTATAATATTCTTATTTTGTGTTTCTCATTGTACTTCTACACTTCTGTACTCTTTGCACTACATTCCCCTATGCTGCTTTGTCTAACTTGACTTTCTCCTACGGGGGATCAAAAAAAGTACATCATATCTTATCTTATTAGACATAGACCGGTAAAACGTATTAAAAACAAAGATAATATTGCTGTCATAAATAGCAGACAGTGCATTATGTGTGAATGCAGTTAATGCAGTGCTGATTACTGCAGAGATATACATTAAATACTGTCTAACATTTATTTGTGGAGATGCATTGACTGTAGCCTCCACTCCGGCCCTGTAGGTGGCGGTAAAGCACATTAAACACATTTCAGGAGCCAATTAACATAAAGGGAGGGAAAACAGTGCAGTCGGAGCTGAGCGGGGGAGGCGAGGAGGAATGAGGGTTGACCGCATTTTTCAGACTATAAACTCGGTTGACTTGAGAAAGGACAGCAACAAGTCAGCAGGTATCCTCTGTATCCGGCTGTGGTGAGTATTTGCGCGCGTTTCATGGAGACTGAAAACTTGCTGTTTTCTACATTTCACTTTTTTCTTGCAGTGCTTCCTGTGTCGCACGTGTTTTCTGGCTGAATATCTCGAGGTTAAAACCATACCTTGCATTTTGTGTTTTTCACCATTGTTGTCTCAATTTTCAGACACCGCCAGACCTGGTATGAAACATGACCATAATCCTGCGAATGCAAGGCCTCGATGTGAAGGCAGGTACTGAAGATATACGGACTTTCTTTGAATGCCTTCACATACCCGACGGTGGAGTGTACATAGTGGGAGGAAGTCTCAGAGAGGCTTTTATTGCATTCACCACTGAAAAAGATGCCCAGCTTGCCATGCGCTTCACTGGCAATTTTCTCAAAGGGTCAATGGTGACTCTGCACATAAGTAGCATGGACGAGCTGGAGCACAAATTAAAGTCAATGTTAAAGAGAAAGAAACTCTCCCCCACGCAGCTCACTGCCAAGAGACCCCATCTATCTCCAGATGCAAATCCGCTACCTTTAAATGGATGGTCTCAAACTCCAAATACTTCTAATCAATCACCTACTAGAAGGACGCTTAATCCCAACACTGAAAATCTTCCTCATCCAGATACGTCAAACGCACAAGATTCAAATGCAATCGATTCCAGTACTGCTTTTCTTCTCGGGATTTGTACGATACTTCAAGGTCTCCAGTCGTCCCAACAAAGAGAAAACAATGAAGCAGTGCCAAGAGTTGGTTTCCCTGAGCCTGAAAGCACAGTTGTGTCTGATCAAGTGTGGAGACAAGAGCAAACTCTGAACTCAAAACCAGGCTATGTCAGGCTCTTCGGTCTGCCAGCTTCTGCTACAAAAGAGGTCATCAGCCGTTTTTTCAGAGGGTTGACTGTACAGGAAGTCATAGTGAATGTGAAGTTGGGACTTGGCCACGGTTGCCTTGTGAAGTTCGCAAGCGAGCAGGATGCATGCGAAGCTCTTCTCTTCAACCAACAGTCGCTGGGTCCCATCAGTGTGGAGGTACGTGGAGGCACTGAGAAGATGTGGACTGGTGCACTGGAAGAATGTGAGACTGCTTTGGGTGTTGGGGAAAGCGTGAAACCCAGGCAAAGCCCTCTTAGGGAAACTGCAAACCACAAACACAAATCCGTGTCTGCACCGTGGCTCAAGAGACATCCTGGCAACCGCTGGTCATTTAAATCGCCAAAAAAGCCAAGATCTAATGGTGACTCAACTGCTCCCTTATCATCAACTGTGGACTACACGGTCATGGTCAGTAATCTACCCAAAACAATGACAAAGACTGAAATAAAAGAATTGCTTGGATGTCCACACATTGCACACAAAAATGTACTACATCTGCTGGACAAGGAAGGCAACCGAACAGACACAGCATTTCTTTTTTTTAACCGCGGTGAGGATTACGACTATGCAATGAATCTCAATGGCTGCCACGTGGGCTCTGATGCCATTGAGGTCTCGTCAATAACAAGGAAGATGATGAGGGACATGATGGCCAAAGCCCATCCTAAGAATCTTTTTCCAGATGCAATGAAGAAACCAAGTCGAAAAAGAAAATCAGGACCAGATGAGTCATTGGTAGAAGCACCGAGGAAGAACATGGACCCAGCAGCTCAGACATACCTGTTTGTCAGCAACATGCCCGCAGATGTACAAAAAAATCAAATAAAAAGCCTTTTCTGCAAATTCAGACTGAAAAATCGCAATGTCACCTTACTGCTCGACGCTGACGGCAAGGGTATTGGTGAGGCCGTGGTTCACTTTAAATCACAGAAGGTCGCTGCACTGGCTCAAAGGCTTCATGGTCAGGACTTCCTGGGGGCTAAAGTGCTTCTTACCCGCATAAATGTGAAGCAGATGGAGGAAATCTTGGCAAGAAATGTTTGAATGCAGACTCCGTGGCCAAAGACTGATTCTGAGCTCTTTTCCAATCAATTTTGTCTTCCTACTGTAGTTCTGCTTGACTGCATCTTCTCAGTTATTGAATGTTTTCATCATACTCAATCACAATCGCACATTTCCTCTGTGAACGCTCTGTACATTTAAAAATAAATGTTTTTTTACTCTGATCTATGGCCCATTTATTTAACCAAGAGACCTTCCAAGTAAAAAAAACCCCAGGGAACATCTCTGAACAAGATTCACTTAGAAACTGCTGGGAGCTTTTTATGTCGGAATCAACCTCAACTGTACACCGAGGAGGAAATGTATAGATATGTTTTACACTGTAATCATGGGATGCTTCAAGTTATTTGATGCATTCACTGAAAGTTGGCTTGTAAAGTGTCTTGAACACTTCTGGGACTCCATTCAGAACCTACTGGAGCATCCTCCATTATTGTCTATGTAGCATAAGAACTGAAGAACACGTTCTAAAGAAGGAAGTTGCAGTCACATTTGGGTTGAACAATTTCAGGGTTTAACACACACAAAAGTTTCTCTATAACTTTTAATAAAATTGGACCTTGGGAAATTCACAGTGGCCACACACTTACGATCAGTTAAACATGCACGTGATTTTGTGTAAAACTTTCCAAGTCAAATCTAAAGAAGTCAAAGACATTTAAAAAAAAAAAAAAAAAAGGGACTACTAGGTAGCAACAGAAAAAACTATACCTAAAAGCATAAAAATTTACACAAAATCAATAGATTTGAACTCCGGGACAGTTGTGTCTGATGCGCATGTAAGACAGCGATGACAAGATCGAGGTGTTACATCTTGTGATGGTCACTTGTAATATGAGGATGGACCGTCAGAGTATCTGGATGGACCTGCAGGGAGACAATGTGAACAGTAAACACAAAGGGCAGCAAAGAAAGGTGTCTCACTCATATTTTGACTTCAATGCGATTTCAAATATGAGCAAAATAACTTTCTTTTGCATCTTCCAACCAACAAATACTATTACATGACTGTACTAGGGGCTGTTGTCCCTGTGGTAATACAGAATGTGTAATGGAAATTTTTAAGAAACTACAAATTTCATCATCATCATCAAAAAAACAAAAAACAAAAACCTTACACAACCACCAAGAAGCCATAACATGCATAAACTGTCTCGTAACCACACTTGTTCAGGTAAGCAGCTGAGTGTTGGAGCCACACTGAATGTCCAAGGAAAAGGGACAAAATAAGACTTGTCGTCTCATTATCCGTTTGTCCCAGAACTCAGGACAATATTTAACTTAGATAATGTGTGACGCTCAAGCAGGGATTAAAATGCTGACCGTTGACGCATATATGATCCTAAATAAACTTACAGAAACACAAGCTTTTACTTACTACTGCTTTATTAAACAGAAATTGCCACCACAGGTCGCTCAACAGCACGGTATGACGCCATTTCATCGTTTCATCTCAGTATCTGCTTGTATTTGATCACCTGCCTCTCCCTCCTCCTGCCTCCTGGGCCTGTGACCCTGTTAAAGGACGACTTTCAGCTTAATTTATTAACTAACTGTGGTGACCTTATTGCGCTGAAAGCCACCAGTTAACAGGGTCACTCAGCTCGACCCAGCTGCGGGACAAAAACCCTTCAGCCATAGTGTACTGGAATAATCAGGGGACCAGTCTGTTTTTCTACTACAAGACTACTGGGGCCAGATGTATAAACAATAATCATGCGTACATCTTTCCCCACATATAAAATGGTATTTATAAAAGAAGAATGTGCAGAGAGAATGCACACACAGTTTCAAGAGATAACTGCGGGTGAAATGATAAGGTGGACATGAGATATAAGTTGAGATACACACAGTTTTAGTCACGAATCTCAAGAGTTGCATCTGGCCCCTGGTGTTTCGCGTCAGAGCCAGTGAGGCAAACCCTGCATAACTTTCTCCTGTGTGGTACTGTAATCCTGGGCTGTGAATTGAGGGATGCTGAGCAGCACTGCTGTGTCAAGTCTCTTCAGCCTAGCCTCTTTGGGATGCTTTCGCATCTTAAAAAACATACACTGGAAACGATGTGATAACGTGAAGCTCCGGCTGTGGCTTGCCATCCCCTGCGGTTGGCTTGTCAATAGTGTGACATTACATTTTTGAGAGTATCACAACAGCTGTAGACTATGAATTTACATGACTGTTACATTTGAGATGCTTCAAATGGAAAGTTTGAGAGGAGACTGACATACCTGAGAGACTACTTAAGTATCGGTCGCTACTGTTTGACAATCTGGAGGGTGTGGAGGAGAAGCTTGTGGAGCTCATTGACAAGCTATTAAGACTAGAACCCTGAGGAGGAAACAGAGAAGACAGAACATTTAGGAAGAGACAATGCACATGGTACCAAATAGACTTATCAATTAATAAGTTAATACAACAACTGAAAATCAGAGTGACTGATAATACTATAATATTCTAAATTAAATTACAACTATCCTAGATTTAATGAGTTGTCTTTAACATTTGATTTTAAATTCAAGATATGACGACAGGATTGTTTTTTTATAATCAAGCTCCTTACCGCCGATACGCTCCTCAGCCTGTACTCCATCAGCACATCTGTTAGTTTCTGTGTCACCTTCAGCACCAGCTGTGCGTCACTCTCATTCTCTATCCGGAAAGTATCCTAAATATACATTTTGACAAGTTACTGTATGTTTAAATGCAAATGTGAGTAATTTAACTAAATACGTTTGGTAAGTTAGAGAGAAATTAGAAGGAGACATACCAGGTAAGTGAGTAGTGCATTAGGATGGCTGCTACTCTCTGGAGCTGGCCCCATTAGGCCTGGCCTGTCCAGTGGCCTGTCCAGTTGCCTGTCCAGTGGCTTGTCCACTGGTCTGTCCATTAAGCCTCTCCCCATTTGGTTGCCCCGGTACTCATCAGGATACATTCTGCCTGGAGTCTGCTCCAGTACTCCACTCCTTCCATAGCCATCTCTTCCACCACCTGATCCAAAAACATCTCCAGCTGGGCAATGACCCATACCATCTGGGAAAGGTCTTCTATCCATACCAGAGTCATGGAAATGTTGCCTGGTCGAGTAGCCTCCAAAGCCAGTCTCCCCATAGTCTCCAGCTGGATAGTCAGAGAGTGGACCCCCCTGAGGAGGAAACTCCCCTGGAAACCTTGGGTCAGAGAACCTCGGACCTGTGAGATTGACATATTCATTTACTACATTATTTAAATACACAAACAGTAATTACATAGAAACGGGCATAAATGCACACTATTACACAGATTATGCTTCAATAATAAAAATGACTCACCAAATGGCGGTCCCTTTAGTCCCATCCCTGGTGCTGGTGGAGGCATAACTTTAGGAGCAGCAGAACCTGAGAGAGGACAGGACATATGAGACTTTCAAGACTCAAGTAACCAACCAACAGCAAATACTTTATTACTAAACTAAATCACTACGCAGCAACTTACGGAGTCCTTTGAAGGCAGGTACTTCACAGGGCTCCTTCAGAATCACCTAAAAGCCAAAAGAGAGAAATGTGAAATCCATTTTTGGACTGATCATAGCATTGCTTCACAGAAACCACCACCTTCTCATTCATTTCAATGAGAAAGTGAGGGCTAAAAAAACCCCCAAAACTTTACAGTTTTGACATCCTGCCTCATAGTATTATAAACCACTATGCAGTGTTTTGGTGCTTAAGGCATCAAGTTTGTGGATGTAGAACTTAACCTGGACCTCCTAGATCACATTTGATCTTCACCAGTACGTGTAGCAACATCTCTAAGCCAAAGCACCTCTTCACCAGAGACACTAATGCACAGTGATCATTATAAGCATGACAATCTAGCCAATATCGCAATCTTTTTTTTGACCCACTGCTGCAGTGATATGAGCCCCAACACTCACCTTGAGTTGTCCCCTCCCCTCTGTGTTCTCCACCTCAGCTGCAACTTCTTTAATTGCCTTCCTCACAGCAGGGTCTTTGATGGCCTCTTCTTCTTCTTGGGTGACCTTGTCAGGATGGGCCTTTTTCTGTGTATAAGGCAGAGACATATGTAAATATTACAAATAACTTGCAAAATCACATTTTTTAAGCAGACTGAGAAACTAACAATACTCACCAAGTATCTGAAGCTGTGTTTCCAGCCTTTCACGTGGGCAAGCATATCATGCTGCAGGCGGGAGACGGCACAGAGTTTGCACTGGTAGTGTGGTGGGACAGATTTACTGGGACTGCGGTATTCCCACACATACTGAAGACCTGCAGACACATGATGATCATTGGTTATGCATTTATATATAGGAAGAGAAGGAGGTTATGTTGATGTATGTGGAAATGGACCCCTGCTTACCAATGATACACTCTGTGACCCCCTTCAACTGTTTGCTGAGAGAGGGCAAGGTCTGTATGGATGTCCCTTTGGTGAATACTGGGAAAACACAACAGTGGTCAGCACAAAGCAAAAGCTTTATAATGGTTCACAACTTATGAGTGAGACAACAAGGTCCAACAAACTAGTTCAATGAGCCACTTCTTTAAAAATATCTGGGGAGAAAGCTGTAATCGTAATAATCATAGTAAAGAAGACACTGAGGTTAAGACAGTGTGTTGTGTTCTTACACTACCAGCAGTCTCTGATGGCCAATTTATTCTGTCTAGAATAACTGAACAACCATAAGAAACCCAAACTCCTCATGTGTGCTTTTGAAGCCTGGGGGAAGACGGAAACGGCAGTTCTCGGCTAACCCCCCAATTAGACCCGAACTGGGCAGCAGTACACCAACTCCTAAAATTCATCACTTCTCATTGTGCCCAACCACAGAAGTATCACTCCTGTGTCGCACTAATGAAGCAGTCCAACTGTGAACGCAAATAAAATACTCTGGTAGGCAGGTAAGGTATACTTGTTTTAAAAGATAATGTAATACAGCACATTATGACTCAAGCCAGTGTAGCACAGGCAACTGAATAAAAAATGAATACTGCATGTAGCAGTGTTAAAAATATGTTATTGGGAAAAAAACAAAAAACAGTACAACGATCACAGCACAAAAGTGCATTAAAAGTTTATCAGCAACCATCGCAGATGCATGGTTGTACCACTGTATGTCCCGCCGTTTTGAGACCATATAGGTGTCACTAAGGACTTATGGAGCTTA